AGAAATGGAGCGACTCTTCTTCCAAAAATGTTCATGATATTTACTTTTAAAGGGATATTATGACATGAAATTAATTTAGGGTCAAACACACCATAACGCCGAGTTAGACCCCCCCTCCAGAGATGAATGTTGCCGACCGCTTACTTCTCTAGTTATACCAACTTTAGTAACGATCGCACAACAGCGATACAGAGAGCCACGCACTCAACCAAAACGCCCGTAATCCGTCCGTAATGGACTGGCCTGAGGTCTCGCTACAAACAAGCGTCTGCTGGAAGAGAGTAGGTGAGTTGTGTTTAGTCCCTTTGCTAAAGAAATGAGTCAAAGTTAAAAAGATGTTTGGTGTCTAGTACTATGGCTGTGACCCTATATGTCCTGTTGATGAAGTTAGGTGCTGTTCTGAGAATTATTTGTGGCTATAGAGTGGCGTTTTGGTTGAGTGCGGGGCTCTATGTATCTCTATCTGCAAGTTGCCCCCCCCTCAGAGAAGCAAGCGGTCGGCAACATTCATCTCTGGAGGGGGTGTCTAACTCGGTGTAACTGTGTGTTTGACCCTAACTAATTTTACACCAGAATATAAAACTCTTCAGATGTCCTCGTGTGTGTGTCCTCGTATCCCCCCGTCAAAAGTTCATCATACTCCAAATTCAGCGGTTAATAATGACCTTTTTAAAACGACATGAGCCTGATAGTGTCAGTAATAAAAGACGAGCACCCAGAATGATAAAGACGGAGCTGAATGTAAATGTTTGTTATTCACAGGATAGAAGTGCAGTTTTGGAAGGACATTTGTGTGACTGATGAAACATCGAGGGGATGAATCTGTCACGTTATCATTATCAACACGTCAGCTCGACTTTGAACACAACACCACCAACAACCTGCCAAGGAGAAATGCTAATTAGGCTAATTACCAAACAGAGATGATTTCCTGTGTGTGATGTGAACCACAAATGGACATGGATGGAGGCACCGTTTTGGCATCCATAATTGCATGTTACCATTTTACAGCAGATGAGTGCATTAGATGGAGAACTCTTTGAAGCTTTGTGGCTGTATTGCAGCGCTCAGGTCTCGTCCATAAAACCCATTAGCGAGTGTGTGATAGTGGACAGAGAGCGCTCGCTAAAATCAGCCGCTATTTTCCCATGTTGACCCCGAATGCAGCCTGAGAGCGTCAGATGAGGGCTGCTGCTGCTGCCGAGCAGTAATTACATGACAACCTTTAAATAACTGTGGCCTATAGCTGCCATTTGATAATGTGTCCGTGCTGGTTTGTCAGGGAGAATATGGCGCTGAGATAGAGTGTGTGTGTGTGTGTGTGTGTGTGTGTGACTGGAACAGAGCAGAGCGGCGATTTATCACCGCAGTTTGGCTGGAAAAAATACACCAGTAACACCAGAGAGAGTCCTTTTATACTGCGGCTGTTAGCTTGAAAGTTTTTCCCTCTAAATTTGGAGATTTTTATGCTGTAGGATCACAAGAAGGGGCACAATGTTCACAGCAGAAATACCACGCTGTTAGCCGCCCCTTTTTTGAAAGCAGTCCTCCAGCATTTTGGCGTCCTGCTTCTTTGAAGTTCACGAGGCGCTTTTTCAAGAGATGGAGAGATCATCAGCGTTATTTCTTCGTAGGGGTTAGCCTTGATTGATGCTGGACACGTCTGGCTTTGTTGGAAGTACCGACCAACATGGGACTAAATCATATCTATCCGTGTCGACCACGTTCCATCAGTCAGTACGTTTACGTGACACTCGAGAAAACCAAATAATTGCCGTATTCCGATGAAGACCGGACAACTGAAGTGCATGTAAACACCTTGAGAACTCTGATTAAGACACCCAGATAATACGATTGGAATTCGATTTTCTCTCCCATGTAACCAGCGTAGTCGGAGTATGATCGGACAATGTATGTGTGGGTACGCCCTGTAACCCCTGAACAAAAACCCCAGAGTAGAGGAGTAGCGTTCGTCTCATCTTTAGAAAAAGTAGCGCGTCCATCATGTCGGACAAAAACAACGCTGTACGATGCTCCATCTTCTTGTTTCTCCAAAATGCCCAGCAGCAGTTGTAGACACTTCTGACGTCTGACACCGACCTGCTGTCGTTGTTGACGGTTGGATGGGGTCGGAAACAGCGCCGCTGAAAAGACCCATATCGCCCCCTAGTTTTGAGGAGCAGGACGCGTTCACGTCAATAATTCAGTTTTCTCAGCTGCATGTAAACGAGGACGAGGAGAGAAGTCTGATCCGACGAAAAAATCTGATGTCAGATCCTGTTTGTTTTCGTCTGTGAGTCATTTTCCAGAGAAATGGTAAAAAAGTGCGACTATAAACAATTTTGACAAAAAAACAAAAAATCACAGGGTGTGGTTTTCCTGTTTCCAATTTGAACATCAAAAATAGTCTGTAGACTACTGTAATGTAATCAATGTCAGTGTCAGTTTGAGTCTCTCAGAAGGAAAAGATGGAAGAGGTTGATCACTCTGTGAGAGACTGTGAGCTAACGGTCAATAATCCAAGAATGAGTGGATTTCATCACCTACAGGACATGCTGCTGATGTTAAACTGAGGATAAACATTGAATATACAGGAAACAATCCAGTACCAACGTTTGGTTTGTTGTCGTTTAGTTACTGAAATACTGACTTTAACTTCTTTTGCAAAACATCAAATTCTGTTTTTATGAAGTTCAGATGGCGTCCAAACTTTGTGGTCATGGGGTGAAGACTTTGGGTGGTGGTAAATGAATACTTCAGACTAGACTTTGATTCAGGACTGTGTGTTTCTGTTTCCTGGTACAGGGTCCGAGCTGACGCAGTAAATTTTCTCTGGTATTTTTACCGTTTATTTATTCTTCTGAGCTTCGTTTACGTGGTTATTTAAATCCGACTCAGCTGTTCCTTAAACTACATCACTGTCTTTAGCAAACACGCCATTTTTGCAGGAATCAGACGCCTGTTTGGTGAAGAGCTGCGGAGTAACACGGGAACCATGACCCCCCAGTGTCGCTGCGGGACTGACCTTCTTTCCTGTGATTGGTGGTCAGACAACAACAACACACTCAGGGTGTCATCCTCGCCGCTGATCAATGCTTCAATTCCAGACCACGTGACCCCAGCGAGGGCCTCTGTGTGAGGGCATAAGTCAGTCGGTCTTTGTTGAGCTGGCGGTCTAGAGCAGCCCCCCCCCTCCTCTGTTGCCCATGTTGCTGCAGCCACCGCGGCCGCCGCCGCTCTCCTCTGGGTCTGACACGGTCTGATTGGTGTGTCATTGAGCTCCCAGCTTTATTTGACTGTCCATCAAAACTGAAAGCTGAAGGGTCTGTGTCTCTCTGGTTAAACCCGGCCCCCCAGGGGCCCCGAGCGCAAGGTCACAAGGCGAGTGGTGTGCCAGGGACCTTGGTGGGATGGGGTATAATATGAATACAATCATGCTGAGTGGCGAAATAATGGCGCCGTAAATTCAATAAACAACCCTGCGGAACTGACATCACCTTCCTTTCATGACATCTTTTTCTGACAGGACAAAGTAATAGAGCGCTCCCCCGAGAGTCCCTGAAAACAGTCCATTCTCCGCACTAAATGTCAAGGCAGCCATGTGTGGAAATATGAAAATGGAGGAGCAGAGGAAGAGGCACTTAACAGAGAGGAGAGGACAGCAGCACCTGCTATCAGCAGGAATCCAGCGCTCTACCTGTCTGAGCGCCTGAACTCTGGAGGAGAAACACGCTTAACCAAAGTCTGGGGGTGTGGGGGGGGTCTGCTGCAGCACCGGCTCAGTTTGAAACCAGAGACTCTAAAAGACAGACTGGGGGCCGTTTTCAACAGTGAAGTCTCTCAGTAAGGTTTCCGTCACCTCAGTCCTGGCTGTCACCCTGCAGGACCTGAAAAGAGCTCATTTTGGCTCCTGTCAGCTGCTCGGCCCTTTAAGGACTGCTACACCTCCTCCGACTCTCTGCTGCAGGATCCTCTGAAAACCTCTCCTCCTCTCCTCTCCTCTCCTCCCCGACATTTCAGAGGAACTCTTCCTCTTTTTAAACTCCTCTGCACTTATTTGACAGCTGCCTTTACACGGTGTTAAAACCAAAAAGGCAGTGGGCTAAATGTCATGAAGGACTTCTTCTGACGTTTGATGCTCTCACAAGCTTCACGATACTCCACAGAAACATCATGCAGCGCCACACAAAGGAGACTTCTTGTATTTTACAGCTCTGCAGAAATCTAGTTTACTCCCTCTCTTGAAGAAATTCTGTTTTATAATCAAAGGAAATTTCATCCTGTTGTAATCGGTCCTAAAAAATATTTTCAGACTACAAGCCAACATTTATTTGTCTCTTCATGTCACTTTAAAACAGGATCTGTGGCTGTCACTTTCAAAGACAGGAAAACAAACTGTCTGTTTTTGTAGATCTTTTAGTGAGAAATATATGACAATAACGCAGAGACCAAAAACGTATTTATTCTGTTTGGGATGGAGGTAAAGTTGAGGACACTTAATGATGACATAAGACAGTAACTCTGGGTTTTATATCTGGTCTGAGTCTCTGTAAAAATACTCAAAAGGGTTAAAAAAAAGAAAGAAAACTCAATCCGACTTGGTTGAGGAGAATATTTTTTATCCTCAGATGTTTAATTAAAGTTTAAACAACTCTTTTTGCAACCTCTTTGCAGAGTCTTGTGCAAAGTGTCTGCCCCTGAATTATTACAATTTGTTGTGTTGAAAATTCAGACGAGAAGAGAGGAAGAACTTCAGCAGGGTACTTAGCCTGGCCTTTGTGAAATCAATACAAATGCCCCTCAGTTAAAACGATTTAAAACTTTGGAAAACAATCTGAGCGACTGATTGACTCGGTGACTTTTATCTGAAGAGTTTGTGGTATTTTGCACAAGGTCCAGCAGAAGTTTTTGAGATTGAATAAATGTCAGTAAATATCATTCAATATCACAGTTAGACTCTCGTTTCTCTGCACAACTCGTGTTATTCTTACTGTTGCCTGATGCAGGATTATCCGCAGGTCCGTAAACCTCTCATAGACTTCACCTCTGATGAAGGTAAAGCTGCTCTGATGCCTTCGAAGAACACTTCCATCATGATTGTATTGACATTTAAAGGGTCAGTTCACCAAAATCAAACACAGGTCATCTTTGTTTGGGTAGTTTGGTCTGTTTGAAGCGCCATCACTGCTCTAATTTACCAAAAACATGTTCAACCAGAGTTGAGATTGAACTGAAGGAAAGACTTTAATTTCACGACAGTTTTTTTTTCTCGCAGCAGCTCAGCTCTCAGCCCCCATATCTTCACCAAAGAGCATCAGACACAAACTTCTAAATTAAAACTGTTTTGAAAAGTAGCTTTATCAGTATAAATAAGGTGTGTTATTTAACAGCTGAGCCAAACACGTCTGACTGCAGCTCAGCTACCAGCCTCGACATGTGACAGACAGGTTTTAGCATCAACAAGTCGTTCATCAGCTAAAATTTTAAAGGAGAAGACCTCCACAAGTAATCTGGCCTCACACAAAGACATCAGCAGCTGCTCAGTTCACAGCCCCCCCAAAGAGGGTCTAACACTGATTTTCAAAGTAAAAACTGAGTTTTATCAAGTCATATAACTCAGTCTATACTTACAGGACATCTACAGAATAACATTTATCTGCAAGACAGCTCAGCTTGCAGCCCCCCGTGTCTTACCGCTTGGAGCCTGACATGAATCTTTAAAGTGAAATTGCTTCTTAAGTGATTTTACGAGTTAGGTTTATTGGCTTGCTTGGTTTTGCAGCTCAGCTCTCAGCCCCTCCTTTGTCTCTGTGTTGAGGAACTAAAAAAGTTGGTGGAGAGATTTAACAGAGACAACACCAACCGTTTTACATCGTCAAATTTTCAGAAAAGTTGTATAATCTGAGTTTTGGGTCAGTACCATAAACTGGAAATCTTCACTAATAATCTGATGACTTGCCAGAACTGCTTAATCTGATCATGAGGATGTTAAAAATATCACTGGAGACTGGAGACTTTTCACACGATGATGGTTTGAAAGTGACTAACAGAATAAATGAATAATCGTCTTTGCGTTATCGTCCCATTATAAGAATAACTTCATAGGAGCAGGTTTGAGTGGAGCAGGATGTTGTGCCTGAAAATGAGCAGAACTGCGAGCTGAGCTGCCTCTCACTGTATGTTTTGACATGTCTGCCGAGTGTTTGCATGTATCCGTGACTCGAGGACTTGATTTGAGGGCCTCCCCGGCGCTCTGTGTTATATCACCGCTGCAATAATGCTCATGTTTTCTCCTGCAGAGCTGCGCGCTGGCTCTTTGCAGCCACTCCGCTGCTCTCCCTCCCACCTCCCCGAGGGGACGCCTCCTCCGCTGCGTCCAGACTTGTCAGAGCAGATTCTCATCAAATTACCGATGTCCTGCATCGGGGTAATTGCTTGCCAAACCCACTCCACTGATGCAAATTTAAGGGGTCGCCTGTGATCGAGATAATGCCAAATTGGTTTGGAGATTTTGAGATGTCTACTCAGCATGGATAGATAGATATGTGGGGCCCTAAATGAAAGAAAGAAGAAATGAAATAAGCTTCTGTGCGGGGAATGCTGATTTGGCATTACTCATCATCAGAGATGGATTTCTCCTCCCTGCAGCCGACTTCTCACAGAACAAATAATTGTAAAGTAGATCTGGAAGGCTCACGGTGCTACATAACAGACTCATACACCGCAGTCATAACACCTCCTCTCTTGTCCTGTAATGTTCAATTGCTTCGGCTAAGTAGCCATTAACCGCGGCCGGGCTAATGGCCAGACTCCAGCTCGGCTGTGTTGTGACCTGACTCCTAATGAGGCAGAAAAAGCAGCTCAAACCGGCGTCTGGACGGTGGGACGGACACCACAGGCCTCTCTGATGCTGATGTCACCTGATGGGAGAGGCCGGCTGGTGCTGTGTGAAGCCTTTGATTGGCTAACTCAGAGGGTGATACTGGAGCTTGAGGCTCATTTCATGAGGATTAAACTTTCGAGGCTTTAAGGAGTTCAGATGAGAGTCCTCCGGGAACGAAACCCCACGTGTCCCGGGAGGCGGCGGGGTTTTAATTTCAGAGTGGCTAAGTTGGTGGTGGAGTTGGATTTGGTTAATGAAGATGGGGGTGTTCATGGGTAAATAAGCAATGACAATTAAACCGAGGTAATGAAAGGGTTAGACTGCAAACAGAGTGTGGAGACGACTGGTCAAATTATGGTCAGGATCATCTCTGTGTTTGAGCACGCTCCAGCTCAGTGATCATGTCTTAAAGGGATATTCCGGCCTAAAATTAATTTAGAAAACCCACCGTAACACCGAGTTAGACCCCCCCCTCCAGAGATGAATGTTGTCGACCGTTTACTTCTCTAGTTATACCAACTTTAGTAACGAGCGCAGGATAGCAATACAGAGAGCCACGCCCTCAACCAAAACGCCACTCTATAGCCACAAATAATGCTCAGAACAGCACCTAACTTCATCAACAGGACATATAGGGTCACAGACATAGTACTAGACACAACATCTTTTTAACTTTGACTAATTTCTTAGCAAAGAGACTAAACACAACTCACCTACTCTCTTCCAGCAGCATTAATTAACATTTATGATTATTTCATGGAAATACAATCAGACCGAGACGCTAAGGCAGAAGAACTACTGCGTCTGTAAAATGATTGATATGATGATTATCACTTCAAGGAAATGATAAAGAAATGATCATAAATGTTCTTCCTTGAGCTGCGGCACCCCGCTGTAGTCTGTAATGGACTGGCCTGAGGTCTGGCTACAAACAAGCAGCAGTTTTACGCCAGAATATCCCTTTAAACTCATCAGAAAAATGTTTGCTTTGAAAATGAATCAACTAAGACTGTCTTTGTGCAACAAGCTGAATCGCCCCCTGCTGGACACTGTAGGAAATGTCAGCTTACAGCCCCTCTGCTCTTGCCTCACTTAATAAATGACATTTTTACCGTCAGTAGTTTTTGCATTTTTCTTTTTGTTTTACCTTAAAAAGGACATTTATTTATCTTTATTACACCAGCGGTAAAAATAGTTAAGATTTATCTTTTTTTTTAATTAACACAAAAATGTATTTTCTCTCTCAACAGCCTCGCCTGCAGGGAAATTAATTTTTTTAAAATGATGTTAATTTGGTGGAATAACCAAGTGGAACAAATGGATGAATATCTTTCTTCATAAAAAAACTGAAGGTAATAAAGGAAACCAACAGTAACCCTGAAGGTCGTCAGAGCTGTAGTTAATAAAAAGAAACAGCGGAATGACCCTTTACCAACAGCTGGGATTTCCTAATTATCTCAAGATTTGTCCTGCAAATGGGAGCAGAGACGAGGTCCTGGGTCCGGTCAACCTCACACAGCGTCTAAAGACGTTTGAGTGAGCCAACATTTCAGAGGCTAATGAAATATTTTGTCATCCTGCATCGTCCCCGCGGCCTTCCCTTCATACCTTTTGTCACATCACTTCCTTTTCCTTCACAGCCAGCGCTCAACGCCGCCGCTGCGGGACTTAACAAGCCTGGAAAATAATTAAAATTCAACCAAATGATGAAACACTTGCAGCAAAGCGTCCTTGAAGGGTCGGCAGGGCCCGTTCTGAAAGCAGGAGGAGACGGGGGGGAGAGCGAGCGGCGTTTTTTTCTCTTCGCAGAGAATAATGTGAAGCTGCTGCTCCCAGCTTAAGGGCCTCTTAAATTGGAAAGGCACTGGCCTATAGAGACATGTACCTGTCAAACAAATACCACACGCCTCTGATTCTCGCTCCTCTCTTTCTCCGCAGCCTCCCTTTTAAACTCTCAGATGGTATTCGAGTCAGACGCGGGGCGCTGTGGAGATTGTCGGGTTTGAGAACAGAGACGGGGATTCGCCTCTTGGAGGTATCACAGTGACGCCGCTGTCGGAGGAATTAAGAGCCGAGCTCAGCAGCCCTCCGGTGATCCGCTCAGAAGATGTTTCTCACGGCCTGGCGGAGGCGTGTCGGGGGGGAGAACGCAGAGTGGCGGCATGAGATGAACACGTGAGAGACAAAGAGAGGCGGGTATGAGCTCACGAAGGGAAACACCCACATCTGTGCAGTTTACCCCGATTTTGAGGGAGAATCTCCAGAGTTTCACCGGAGTATACCTGACGTATTTTTACCGCCAAGTTCCACAGGCGTTTCTGAGTGGCGCGTTTCAGTTACTTGAGTCAATTTTTCTGTCACTCTACCCGTCCTCTTGCTCTCTTTGTAAGTCCAAAAACCCGCCCCCTAAGTCCTGTCCTAGAACTCTGACAGTAGATGTCACGGCGTGTGGTCAGGCGGCGGGATATGTCACGTTAAATCTACTGCTGATGGACTACGGGGCGAGTCTCAGAGATTAGTGGTAAAACAGTCAACACACCTGTCTACCATCAGGTAATCATGCCGGCTCTTTAAGAAGTTCCACCAGCAGTCAGTCTCTTCAGTTTCGTTTCTCCTAATCTTCATGGACGTCTCGCCACCAAGACCCCAGACCAGCTAACCTCTCCATGAGGGGTCACCTCGCTCCTCTTGAACTTGGACCACAGCTGCACTTTTTCATGCATGACCTGGTTCGAGTCTGTATTTGGGTTTAGCCGTGACTCTTGGCGTACAGAGTCATACAAAATCCTCGGTATTAAACTTTGACCAATAAACAGTCGTGCTTCTTCTTCATCTCAGGAGCTTCCTGTTGTTGAAAGCCACGTTTTCACCTCAAGCGAAGGCGATCAGACCAGTTAGTTCTCTGCTGGGTTCTAACGCCGGTATCGTGGTTTAAAGATGTCACTGTGATAACTCCACGAAGGCAGCTTTCGCAGACGTTTACTGACCAACAGACTTTCTGATTGGACCGGCCTGCGTCTTCATGATGCTTCTGGACCTTAAAACCGTCCGAACGGGGATCCTTGAGACGGATTTTCAACATGCTGTTTGTTCCTGAACAGTCGGTAAGCTGGGATTCAAGAGTTTCACCTGTTTATGAAGAACTAAACATTGATCATAACTCTCATAAAATCAGTAAATCCATTTTGATCAATTCTGAGATTTTTATCAGATTTCCATCTGACAGGAATAATTGGTTAGATAGTCTGAATATTGATCGGACAGCTGATCAGCTGATGCCATAATCAACAAAGCATGACTGTGCGTGACGCTCTGAAGAAGGAGGAATGAATCTCCATGCAAGTTGGAAAAAAGCTAAATCAGATGCGGAAACAAGATGGCTAAATATACGAAAGTTATTTTAGCACTTTCCTTGTCCGAATATAAGGCGAGCGCTAAAATAACTTTGGTAAACGTAGCCATCTCTTTTCAGGCCTCCGATTTAGCTTTTTTCCGACTTGGTGACTGAAACGCTGGGAACTCGGGTGTGACGTCATTTTCAGCTCCGACATCTGACTTCTGAGGTAACTCAAACGCAGCATGGGGTTTGACCAATCAGGAGCAAGTATTTAAGGCAGCCAGGTAAGTCGATACAAAAGAAAAGAGAGTGAATTCAAAGATTCTCCGACTTCTTTAACTTTCAAACGCGTCTGTAGAAGAGTCTCTGTTTGGTCGCGTCTGTTTGTGAAAGCGTGGGTAACTTTAAAGGAATGATTTAACCAACTGTTGGTATGCGGCTCTAATCCTCTGTTAATACATACAGAACAATGTGAGGATAATGATACTGAAAAAAAAAACTGCAGTAGCAGATGCCAGCTTTGTATCAGATACAACCAGTTATTAGTTTGGACACAAAGGCCGGCCTCCGAGCTTTCATTGTCTCCTCTCCGTTTTTTTTTTCATTGAGTTAAAACAATATGCAGCTTTGATTGCACATGTTGCACCACCTGCATTTTCTCTTCAGTATCTGGCCTCTGTTTATCATCCTGCTCTTTGTGTTTCATCCCTCCATCCCTCTGCTCTCTGTCAGTCTATCAGTGTCACGCTTGAAGCTAGCTTTCCTCCCTCCGTCGGGGGAATTGATCTGTTTGGTCCCCTGACTCTCCCTGTTAGCATTGATTAACCGGTGAGTCACGCTACCTCTGCAATGACAACGTTTGAAGCTTTCATTTTTTCCCTTAATTATTTAGAGTCACAGCGAGGTGCGCGCTCGTCCCAGCCTCATACATCATGCAAAACACTCCGACTGACAGCCACACCGCTCTCAGGGCTCTTTGTGTGTGTGTGTGTGTGTGTGTAGTTTTTTTCCCGGTAAACCCGGACTGTTTGTTTGAGTCGGAGCTCTGGGGCAGGAGGTGCAGTTAGTGCGAGCTGTGATGGGAAGCTGAGAGCTGAATTAGCACTAATGGCTGCGGCTGAGAGGAGTGAGGGATGATTTTATGGATGAAGTCATGTATTTTTCCACAGATTTAAAGGTCTCTGTGAGAGGCCCGTTAGCGTTCACTGCTGCATTCGCCGGGTCGTTGTGTTCTCCTCCTTCCACTCGGGCTCAGTCTATT